GTGTGTGTGTGTGTACCTCTGTGGGTACATGCACTTCTGTGCTGATGCCCAAGGAGGTTATGGAGGGTGACTGATACTCTGGAACTAGAGTTAAATTCAGTTGAATGAGTGCTGGGATCTAACTTGGGTTTTTTGCATTCTGAATCAGTGAACCATCTCTCCGGCCCCCACTCCCTTTTAGAGGAAAGATTAGGGTGAATAGACAGCTAAGACTGGACTACAAATATTAAAAATGAGAGATCTTTAATAAGTACAAAATTCTGTTTCTTTATACAACTGTAATAGCTTTGAATCAAACCACTAGGATTTATTTAAAAAACAAAATAAAACAATGATATAAAAACAGCAAGAAGGCCTGAATCCAAAGTTTTTCCTCTAATAGTACCAAATACCACAAGGTACAGATTATTATACAAATGTGTACAAATCTTTAATACAAATACAACAGGGCTAGGCTTCAAAGGAAAACAAACACGAAAAAGCCGATTCTCATCAGGAGTTCACTACTGTCTGTAGCAATGTCAATGGAGGACTGGCTGCTTCCTGTATTACACATGTCTTTCAAGTCTCTCCCTGATACCTTGTTTCTCACAGGAAACTTCCACAGGTTCAAATGAGGTTCTGACATGTTAGCTCAAATTTAAATTTCTGCTCTTCTTGATTTCAGTTCCCACATATTCCTGTTTCTTTCTCCATTTCCCAGATTAAATCTCAGAACTGCTCTGAGCTGCGAAAGGGATTTCACTTCCAGAACACCCGTGAGAAGCTCAGCCGTGACAGCACAGTGAGACTACGGGAAGGAATTAAATAGGATGCCAGCGGGCTACATGGTCCCCAAAGGTTTGCTATGATGCTGCCCTGTTCCATCTATGCCAGAGGAAGAAAGCATGGTTACCTCAGCTTGGTTTTGGCAGGGAAGGGAATCTCACACCAAGTTTTCCAAACAACCCTGGAGTGCTCAACTATCTTCTCTCTAATGGGGTCTGGTTCTTTGGGAACAAGGGTAGTTGGGAATGGTGACATTCCTTTGTATTTCACTTTTGTAACATTATTGAGGGCCATGAAGCTCCTTTCTGAGTCACAACACCTTAACATATGGATGACTTGGAGCTTTTAGACAGACATGAAGAAATGACAGATCTGTATGCTCCACATGCTAATGCTGGTGGAGGCTTGTTATTAAATTATATATACAGGAATTTACAGGATAAATTAAAATCTAAGAAATTCTAAAGAGTTAAATACACATAATTAAAATATACACACACACACATACAGATAAGCCTACTAGGAACAGAGCACATCTTTATGGTCCAACTGTGTGGAATGCAGAGCACAGTCTGTCCACCAGGGGAACCACAGCTGAACTGAGAACCACCTAGCAGTTAAGCGGCCGAATCTCTCAGGATTTGGGGGCCAACCAACACTGCCAATGAGAGATACCAGCTTTGGTTTTTGTAGACCAAGCCTTCTTGGCCAGCTAATGCAAGTGGCACCAACAGCTTTGGTATCTACAAGGTATTTCTCTGCTGCCAAGAATCACATAACTGAGGCAATAGATGGCACCCATGACTCTAAGGTACCAATAAAACTGGAAACGTGTTTAGTAGGAATTGGAATGAGTCTCCCCCTCAGTTCACCTAAGCTACCTCCACCTCCCCCCAGGTTGAAAACATTGTAGTCAGCTGGCCTCCTCCCACAGTCTTTACTACATTTCCGATTGTAAGACAGGTAAGGCAAATGGTCAGTGATGGGTCTGGAGGTACAACCAGCCTTGGGGGGAGGGGAAATCACATTTTTAGCTATCTATATGGAGATAAACATGGCACCCAGAGTAAGCCCCTAGTCCCCAAATTACACTGATTTTTAAGGCAGATTTTTTCACACAAAAAAATAATCCCAAGCCCACATTCATGCCAAAGTTTCCTTTTAGCTAAACCTTTGCCATTTCATAAAATTATTAAAAGCAAAGTAGTTATAATCCTATGTATATACTGTACATTATATATGTATATATAGATATAAAAATTTAAAACCTATACCCAGAGGTCAGTGGTGGATCTGGAACAGTCATATATATATACACACACACTCTAGCGAAGGGGTAGACAGGCTTCTGTCCCAGGCTTCTTTCTTGAAGGTCACAGTCCAGGCATGATGTACGCAATGTTGTCTAGCGTGTTTGACTGCAAACAAGGAGAAAGGGCTCAAATGTGGTACACTTTACTATAGTCCCCTGTCAGGGGACAGATGGGAAAGAAGTGGATAAGACACACCGGCACACTGCTGTCAGCTGCGCCAGGAGCGTCTCTGCTTGTGTCTCACATTAGTCCCAGTAGCAGGAAGAAGTTCTGTACTGTCTGTGAGATGCAGGTCCTCAAGGGCTAGGCTAGACTGCTTCTCTCTAATACAGTGTCCTGCTCTGTGGGACAATATGTAATGGGAATGCCATATGACTCATGAGTTAAATAGTGCTTGGCAGGTTGGGCTTTCTCAAAGACTCCAGCCCTAAAAAGTTAAGGAAAACAACAACAATAAAAACTCACCAGGACCTGTTTGGGACAGCCATTCAGTTCAGGTAGTTGTGTGGTCAGGCATGCCAAAGGGCCAAGAGCACAGATAATGGAGTCCAGGAGCACTGACAAGCTGCCAGACACTGCTACCATGCCCTGCAAGAAAAGCAGACAGCAACCCACACTCTCAGCTGCTCTTTCTGCTCAGCTTTTTTCCAGTTGGTAAGCAAGCTCTCAAGATCCATTTGCTGAGTCTCTGTCACCTGTACACTTCATTGATGCTGTACTTTCTCCCCAGTGCTGGTCTCTTTCACTCAAAATCTAAACTAGACTTTCTCAGAAGTAGGAACTCTATAATCATACCTACCCTACTCAACAACAACAACAAAAAACAAAAAACAAAACTCTGCAGTTCCAGGACAGGAAACTACAAATACTTCAGTGTCTACCAAGACATCTGGCTCATCTGCTCAGATGCTTGCTCTCTCTTCCTACCCCTGCTGTATACACCCCTGCCTCAACAGTTGAGTAGGAAGACTTCCAGATCTGTTTCTGAAGCAGGGCTGCAGGCCTAAAGTCTCAGTAGACGTCTTTCCATCTTTCTCTGCAAAAAAGACCCCAAGGGTGAGAACAGTGCTGTCTTCTGTATGCAATGTGTCTCTCCAGCTACTTACTCCATTCCCTTTCACTAGCCCTTTGGCTTCCTAACTGGGCACACTGCTTTCTCTTTCTCTCCCTTTGAGATAAGGTCTCAAGTTTTGTTTTAGCTCAGGCTAGCCTAGAACTCATTTTTTGAAACTAATAGCCATCTTCCTGATTGACTAGGCTCCTAGTAGTAGAACGACAGTCCTATGCACACCACCAATGCTAAGTGACACTGTTCTTTGACAGTCTTGTAACTGCTAACAGCAGTGCAGGAGAGCAGCATGGGGAGGGGAAGGTCAGTTGGGCTCTATTTTTGGTACTAATAGTTGTATAAATCTGTGATAATGAGGTTCAGGTAGAATAATGTCTACATTAGTGAGTTATGTAAATTAATGTTCCTGAAAGTGTGGTATGCAATTTCAGGTGACATGTAAGTGAACTTCAACTGTTTTAATAGTTACATATCCACTAGGCTGTGCATTGGATAAAAGTCATGGGGCTGGAAAGATGGTACAGGAGTTAGGAGCACAGGCTGTTCTAGAAGACTTGGGTTTGAGTCCCAGCACCCACATGGTAGCTTACAACCATCTATAAGTCTAGCTTCAGGAGAATGGATGTCCTGTTTTGGCCTCTATGGACACTGCATACTTCTGTACTCTCTCTCTGTCTCTGTCTTTATCTCACACATACACACAAAATGAGAAATGACTGCTAATGTGCTTGGAGTTGCTTTTTGAAGTAATTGTTTTAGAGACAGTTATGGGTCCAAAACTCTGAAGAGTATTAAAAGCCACTAAATCCTGCACTGTTGTAAAGGGTGAATTTTTGGCAAGTGAAACATTTTATTAAGGCTGTTGCAAAAAAGAAAAATGGGTAAGAGAATCTGTAAACCCTTCCCTTTCTGCTTGTGGTAGCCACACTTATCTGCAGTTTTCCTTCCACGGTTGTAGTTACTCAGGTTTTTTTGGGGGTGGGTGGGAAGGGGTTTGTTATAGTTTATTTTTGTATGCTGCAGGCTGCCTTCAAAGGTGTGATGCCCCTGCCTTAGCCTCTCAATGTCCACTGTGAGGGGTGTGCCCTCCACTCAGGCTCAACTCACAGTTCTAAACTGCATACAAGTTGTTGGAGCAGCATAATAAAGTCTCTGTCCTGGTGGACTGTGAGTGAACTTTACTCGGCATTCCATGCTGCACGCAGCTTGTTAGATGCTAGCAGCGATCTATCAACCATCAAAACTTTAGAAACAGCACTAACAATCAAGGTTCTCAGAAGCTACCAGGAGTATCCAAGTGTCTTTTCATGGTATTTTAATTTATTTGGGATTTTTTTTTCTTTTTAAAGAGTTATTTATTTTTTTATGTGCATTGGTGTTTTGCCTGTGAGGGTGCCAGAAGATCCTTTGGAGTTACAATCAGTTGTGAGCTGCCATGTGGGTGCTGGGAATTGAACCCAGGTCCTCTGTAAGAGTAGCTAGTGCTCCTAACCACTGAGCCATCTTTCCAGTCTGGGCTTTTTTTATTTTTTTTATTTTTTTCATTTTTGGAGACAGGATTTTAGTTTATAGCCCTAGCTAATCTTGAACTTGCAGCAATTCTGCTTAAGCCTCTCAAGATCTGGAATTACTGGTCTGAGCTGCCATGTCTGGCTTCCACTTAAATTTTTAAAAATTATTTTATATGAGCCAGGTAGTGGTGGCACATGCCTTTAAATCCAGTCCTCAGGAGGCAGAGGCAGATAGATCTGTGAGTTTGAGGCCAGCCTGATCTACAGACAGAGTTCCAGGACAGCCAGTGGTACACAGAGAAAAACCGGTCTTGAAAAACAAAAACAAATGATTATATGTATGCATGCTTTGCCAGCATGTATGTCTGTGCACCGAATGCATAGCTTAAAGAGGCTACAAGAAGGCATGAGATTTCCTAGAACTAGTGTTGTAGGCGGTAGTGAGCTTCCTTGTGGGAACTAATATTTGAATCCTGGTCTTTGTGAAGAGGAGTCAGTGTTCTTAACTGCAGAGATATCTCTCCAGGTCCTCCACTGAACTTTTATAGACTAAAATCCAGTTACAGGGTTTCTTCAATTGTTTTAGCACCACTGTTTCTATAGAATGGTATACCGGTATAAGCGCTAGAGCCAACAGGCAGACTCTAAATTTCTAGACATGTTCTCACCACACCATGGGTACCTGGCATTATTTTGCATAAAGTAGTTGCTCAGTAAATGAACAAATGGATCTAAATAGTGTAAGAAACAGGAATCCTGCTAATCAGTGCTGTGCTCACCTCTGTCTCCTGCAGGCGGTGTCCAATGAGGCTGAGAGACTCTCCCAACAACTGGAGATGAGCAGCAACATCAATGGGCTCTGTCTCAGGGGCTTTGGCTGGTGAGGCTGGCAAAAGCATTGTGGTGGGTGGGGACTTCTTTTGGGGTGACAGTATTCCCACAGAAGAAGCTAAGAATAGAAGGATGAAAATTTGCCTGTGGCCTTCAGTGTCACAAAACCAATAATTTTCCCTCTTGAAAACTATATACCAGGCATTAGCTAGCCTATCTTTGTGACCTAAAATTAGCCTGACTTCTTTTTGTGTGAACCATGAGATATTAGTAGTTTTACTTCCCAGCCCTTGGGGAGGCAGAGGCAGGTGAATCCCTGTAGACTAGGCAGCCTGGTTTACAAAGTGAGTCCAGAACAGCCAGGGCTACACAAAGAAACTCTGTCTCAAAAAACAAAACAAAAATAATAATTTCATTATATATATAAAAGATGTTTGCCTAACATGTCTCTGTACCCACATGTGTGTAGTGCCCACAGAGGCCAGAAGAGGGCATTGGATTCCCAGGAACTGGAGTTCTAGCCTGCTTTGAGCAAGGTACAGGCTGGGATTTGAACCCTAGTCCTTTGCAAGAACAGCTAGTGCTCTTAACTGATGAGCCATCTCTCCAGACCCTAGTTGTACATAATTAAAGGGTTTAAGAAAAACAAGCAAATGCATATGTGACTGAGAAAGCACCTAGAACACAAAGGCTTTAACATTCATGTTCTGGATTCTTTTTATTTGTATTTCTATTTATTTACTTATTGATTGATTGAGACAGCATCTCTCTGTGTAGGCTTGACTGTCCTGGATGCTTTTTATTTCTTTATTTTTATATCTGCCTATCTCTCTATCTATCTAATCTATCTATCGGGACATCGTCTCTTGTGTAGTGTTGACTGTCCTAGACTCACTCTGTAGACCAGGCTGGCCTCGAACTCAGAGAGATCATGGTCACCTTGCCCAGCTTCCTTTTTACTTTTTAAAGACAGGGTCTCAGTGTACAGTTTGCCATGTAGCTCAGGTAGCTTGAACTTGCTACTCTCTTGCTTGCTAGATTACATGTAGACAGAAGGCTCCATCCTTGATTTACTTTCTGGATCTTTACAGTAAAGTATGTGATTTCTTGCATTTTCTAAATTTGAACTACTTTTATGTAACCTGTAATATTCAGTAATACTTAGGGATCAAGGCCTACTTCTATTATAAGCTATTTGCTCTCCCAACTTCCTAGCAAGGAAGCAGAATCCACAGGGCTTTGGAGGAAATGTGTTGACAGCAGGAGTGAGAAGAGGCTGCTACCTCTGACTCTGACCGAACCTTCTGCACTGGAGGCTTTTCTTTTCACAGTTGTGGCTTCAGCTTTGTTCTGTTTGTGCTGCAGATACTGAGCCTTCTGCTTCCAGATCTGTAACAGAGCAGCCACACAGAATTAAAAAAGGATAAGTAGAAAGGAAGCAAGGAGCTAGGGAGAGGTGGAGAGAGGACAAATAGTAAGTCAAGTGGCTTTAAGGCTGATAGCTGATATGTTAACTACAAACATCCACTCCTCAGTGCTAAGGGTCTAGACTCAGGACTGTATTTCAATACACCAAGGTTAAACGTAGGTCACAGAGCAGAACACCTGGCTCAGTATAATGTCCTGTGCCTAACCACTTCCTCTGACCTTCTTGTCAATGGAAAACAGCAAGCTGTCAAGAACACTTTGGGTGGAAAAGAGTTGTTTCATCTAAAAAGGCCATTCTTTTAAGAATGGCAAGTCTTATTCTTCATTTGAAATGACTAGGACGTAACTACATATGATTCAGTAGTGACTATTATTGTCTTCACTGACTATCACTGGCTCTTGTATTTTTTGTTTTTTGAGACAGACTTGTGACATAACCCAAGTTGGTCTTGAATCCTTAACCTTCATGTCTGTCTGCTAAGCACTGGAATTAAAAGCACGAGCCACCCATTCCCAGAAGTCGTTTTAGTTCTTCGGAGGAGGGTACATTGCTAATAGTTGATGAGGCTAGGGACCCAGAGTCTGGCTAAGGGAATCCCATGCTTTTATCTAGAAGGTGGTAGTCCTCAAACACCAGACCATGACTGACTGGCATTTGCAGTAGGGTGCTGTGACTTTAGAAATATCTTAATTAACTGGACTCTTTTTGTCTACTTAAATCTGGTTTGGGGGACAGTGGATAGACAGTAGAGTCAGACAGTCTCCTTACAGCAAGAGCAGCCTGACAACAGTGGCCATGTCCTCTGCTAACCACCTCTACTTTCTCATTGTTCTCAGTGTGTGTCTGGCAGGCAAACACAAAACAAAACAAAACAAAACAAAACAAAACAACAATAAAAGCTACATAAGAAAATACACTTACCAGTTTGTCTTTTTCTGGCAACTGCTTCCATACTTCAGCCAATTTTTTACTAAGTTCTCCAAAATCTGATATAAGAGTTAAAGAAAAACAAACAAACAAAAAAACAGAAATGTAAGAAAACAGAAGTCTGGGGAAACAACCTAGAAAAGGGTTTGGTGGAACAGATTTCTTCCTTTTTTTCCCCAAGTCAGGGTTTCTCTGTGTAGCCCTGGCTGTCCTCTATCTCAGAGATCCGCCTCCCAAGTGCTGGGATTAAAGGCGTGCACCGTCATGCTTGGCAATGTCTAATTTTTCACAGCACCTCTGTTGAGTGGACAGCCATTTTATACATAAGCTCAAGGAGCCAGACACATAAATTGACCAGTGTAGGGTCAGGGCAGTGTCTACTCATCTCACTCAGTGAAAAGCACCAACACTACGAGGGAACTCAAGGAAAAGCCTTGAAAATAAAATGGATACTTTGCATATTTATGTGCACTGATGGGGTTACAGGCAAGGGCCTGGCTCTTATATCTATTTCATTTATACTTTCCTCTTTCATTAGTTAAGAAACACATAATGGGAAGATGGCTTGGGTACAGTGGTTGCCATATAACCCAGAGGACCTGAATTCTGATTCCCCAAAACTGTAAATGTGAAATCTTACACAAATGTAAAAGCCAGGTATGGCCGTGCATATCTAGAATCTCAGCACTGTAGAAACACAGGGAAACTTGGAGTTCACTAGCCATCTAGCCCAGTAGAATAGGTGAGTTCTAGGTTAAATGAGAGACTCTGCCTCAAAAAGTAAAATGAGGTCACAAAATGGCTCTGAGAGTAAAGGCACTCACCACTAAGCTTGATGAGCTTAAGTTTGGTCCTTGGGACATACATGGGGCAGAAAACTGACTCCTAGAGTTATCCGCTGACCTCCATGGCCTGTGTGCACATACGTACACAAACAAAATAATACATAAGACTCAATAAATAAAGTAGAGGTAGGCATAGTAGTGCACATCTTTGATTCCAGGCAGGAAGAGGCAGGTGGCTCTCTGAGTCCAAGAACAGCCTGATCTACATAGGAAGTTAGTTCTAGGATGGCCAGAGCTACATGATAGGGAAAAAAAAAAAAAAAAACTACTAATAAATAAAAATGAAGTGGAAAGCACTTGATAAAAAGATAGCTGATAAGAATGTCTGGTCTACACACACACATCCCTCTTTTATACTTAGGGTGAACTAAAGGATTTGCAGAACTGAGAAAATACATCTGTATTCTGTTTGAGACAGGGGCATACGCTGTAGCATAGGCCATGGTTGCTGCCCCCCTGGGATTACTGGCATGAACTACAGCAGCTGGTTTCATTTTGTAGTCTAATGCTACAAAGGGAAGCTACCTAATGATCAAATTAATTAAATGTACTGCTTCAGAGAGTAGAAAGTAAAAAACAAAACAACCCAAAAAACAGTAAAACAAAACCCAAAACTCAGGTTCTTACCTATACCTGGATGGTCAGCCACAATGGTTACCCGATACTCTTTACAGAACACCTGGTAGGCAGACATGTTCTTTTTTTTCGGCTAGTGCCACAAAGAAAACAGAATAGGGCAAAAGTTGATTAGGAGCCAACTAGTATATTGTCAGTATTCTCCAGTTAGGGAAGAGTTTCACCCTACAAACCAGCCTCACTCAAGAGGATAATTTTACTTATTACCATTATATAACATTATATATATTATACATATATAATATAACATTACCATGTTACTCATTACCCAGAGGTCAGCATTAGCTATAACTTTGGAGGTAAAAGTTACATGCTATAAAGCATCTGTGAAAACCTTCATTATTATGTAAAAATATCATACTGCATATTTCTTTGAGCATCAAGTACTAACAAAATAAGATCTTTATCCTCTCCTGAGGAGACTAATTTTCTCATTCTTGAGATTTAGAATCACAGACTTCCTTTTCTTTTTTTGGTTTATGGAGACAGGGATTCTCTGTGTAGCTTTGGCTATCCTAAATTGCTTTGTAGACCAGGCTGGTCTCAAACTCACAGAAATCCACCTGCCCCTGCCTCTGCAGTGCTGGGATTACAGGTGTGCATCACCTCACCTGGATGCCTTTCTTTTTTTGAGACAGGGTTTCTCTGGGCAGCCTTTGGTGTCCTATGTCCTGGAACTCTGAAGACTAGGCCTGCCTCTGCCTCCACCTGTCTCTGCTCCTTGAGTGCTAGGATTAGAGGTGTTTTTCTCAACAAAACACCAATGGAAATCTGAGAGAACCAACCCAAAAACAAAATGAAAGAACTGGGAAAACCAACCAACCAAAACCCTCTGTACTTTCTTCCTGTAGAAGCTTCAAACTATGATGATCCTCTAACAGCCCCTTCTGGTCTTATAGTCAGTCTAACACAAACCAACAATTCACACTTTCAAAGCTTCAGGCATCTGGTTTGCCTTACGAGTCAGATTTGTTGGGGCTGGAGATATGGCTCAGAGTTTAAAAGGACTCTGCTCGAGTTCAATACCCAGCAACCACATGGAATGATATCTGGTGCCCTCTTCTGGTGTCTGGTGCCCTCTTCCCTCTTCTGGTGTGCAGGCGGAACACTGCGCACTAATAAATAAAGCTTTAAAACTTTGCTTTAAAAAAAAAAGAAGAGTCAGATTTGTGACTAAAACCCAAGGAACTACAAACATGTCCCTTGAGTCACTTCACAGAGCAGTTGGTCTGGGCAGGGAAAAGCTCAACTGCTTTCTTTACTGCCTTGGTCATCCACACTTAGCTACACTATCACCGTGTTCTGTCAAGAGTCTCTGCTGACTTACTTGCATGCCCAGCCTCCCCACCCCATTTGTACAAGTCTATACATTTTCACATCTTTCCCTCCTGCAGAATCTATCTCACTGCTAAATACTGAGATACGAGGAAGAGAATGTATATGAAAACTTCTATTATGGACCTTGCAATAGGCATTTAAACAACGTCGTCTACATGTGGTACAATATTGTTACTTTCCCCCTAGCTCCAAAGCCACTTAGGGTTTAACATAAAGTATCTCCATAAAACTAATCATAATTCTTGGTCAACATCCAAATTCATGAATTGAAGGAAAGTCCTCCTGTTATAGAGGACTTTATTCATTATAGAGCAAACAAACTGGTATTTATCAAATAATTATACCAGGTAATGGTATAACAGCATGAGCGTGAATCGCAAATCTTATTCTCAGGAAGTTAAAAACATCAACTGTGAGCCAGACGTGGTGGTGTATGCCTTTAATCCCAGCACTCAGGGAGGCAGACTGAGTTTGAGGCCAGCCTGGTCTACAAAAACCTGAATTTGATCTTGGGGTTCATACGATGGGAGAAAAGAACCAATTCTTGCAAATTGTCCTTACACATACTCACAAACAAATGTAATGCGCACCCACCTCTCCGCCCCCCCCCCCAAAAAAAACCCCAAACTCACAGAACTCTTGGATAACACAGTAGAAAATCTCCACGACCTAGGGTATTTTAGATAAGATACCCCAGCAGAAAGAACTGTAAGTGGAACTTTTTTAAAATAAACATCAATCTGGGTGTGGTACATGCCTGAATTCCAGTATTTGTGCAATAGAGGCAGAAAGATCAGGGGTTCAAGGCCAGCCTCAGCTCTTAAAACCACCGTCAAAAAACAAAAAACCTTTGACTCTTTTGTTCTGCAGAAGTCACTGTTAGAAGAATGAGTCCACACAGCAGGAAAAAGCACTTACTAAGACCTATCCTGACCAGGTACTGTTACCCAAAATGCACAAAGAACTCCAAAAACCAACAAGAAAATAATATAAACTGGGTTAAAGCTAAAAGACACCTCACCAGGAAAGAAAAGCTGACAGTAAATGAACACAGATGAAGATGTTCCACATGTCATCAGAGAAGTACGTATTAAATAGAAACACTAATAAGATGACTGACCATACTTGAGACTCCAAGGATGTAGAACGACAGCTCTTTTCAGGCGCAGTAGACAATTTTAAGTGAGCAGTCCTTCAGCACCGCCGACCAGACACCCAAGATGAAAGGAAATGCCTTTACAGGCTTTAGAGGGGAGAGGTTTCTGAGCTTAGAGGGAGGAGTCCATGTCTAACATAACAGTAAAGTCACTAGATAAGGATATAAGGTTTTAATTCAGAAAGTTATTCTGTTGTCCCACCCTGCCTTGTGGCTGCTGCATGGTAGGACTTTAGCTCAATAGGGAGGGTCCTAGATGAATATAAGGTGTGGCCCACCTCCTCCCACAGAGGTACCAGTATATGCAGAGGGGATGCAGAATGGGACAGTCACTTGAAGACAGTAAAGTGATTTCTCTTAAAGTAAATACACCTCATCAGACAGTCCTTCATGCTTTTTGGCATTTACCCACTGGAGCTGAGAACATTTCTCCACATAAAATAGAAACATGGATGTCTATAGAAGCTTGATTCTCAATTGCCCAAACTTGAGAGCAACCCAGGCAGCCTGCAGTTGGTGAACAAATGAACTGTGGTTCAACCAAACAACAAAGCACTATTTAGAACTGAGAGGACAAGAGACAAATTTATATTATACCCCCCAAAGGCCACTTACAAATGATTCTAATTATGTGGCATTCTGAAAAAGGCAAAATATAAAAACAAACAAAAAATGAGGTGATTGTAAACAGGTGAAGAATTAAGATTTTTAGGGTAGTTAAAAGTATCTTGTGTAAACAAGGTATGTGGCCTATGCCTTTAATCCCAGCACTTGGGAGGCAGAGGCCTCTGAGAGTTCGAGGCCAGCCTAGTCTACAGAGCCAGTCCAGGACATCAAGGCTACACACAGAGAAACCCTGTCTCAAAAAACAAAAAGTATCCTGTGATGCTACAATAGGAGATGGAGCATTTTCCACACTCATAGAATGAACAACACTGAGTGCATATGCAGTTACACTATGGGCTTGGATGAAGCTATGTCAGTCTGAGTTTAGGTTAATCAGCTGTAACAGGCATGCTGGTGCGTGGGATGTTGATAGTGGAGGAGGCCATGTATGTGTGGGATAGGAAATACATGGCATATGCCTACATTTTCTTCTCAATCTGAGAGACCAAAAAAGATTAAAAATTAGCAGCTATTATTAATTAAGGCCTGAACTATGTGGGCGGAGGAGTCTAGTAATGCCCTGAGGGAATTCTTACTGCATTCTTTTCCCACCCACTAGAGATAACAGTTGCTAGGAAACTGGCCCATCCCCCTAGGGAGGGACACCAGGTCATTAAGGTCTGGGAACCTTCCTATAGCCAATCAATTAAAAATGTAGCATTTTGACCAACAGATGCTTGCCAGGCAGGAATCGCCCCTGCCTTGGGCGTGCTGGGAGGGACCAGAATCTTTAAATGACCCAACTAACCTGGGCACCCGCACTCAGCTCCCACCACTTCGGCGTTGGTGGGTGTGGGCCCAAGCTGCAGCTTGTAATTTACAATAAAAAGAACCTCATGTATTTACAGCGGAGTCTAGTTATTCCTGGTCTTTTGGGGTTCGTGAACTGGGCAGAACAAATCTTGCTGTGATTCCAAAAAACTTAACTAATTTTTTTTTCTTCTTTTTTTGAGATAGGCCTTGGCAGGCCTGGAACTCACTATGTAAACCTGGCTGGCCTGGAACTCAAAGTAATCCACCTGCCTCTGTCTTAGAAGACCTAAGCAAAGAGTACTGCTAGTTCAAGGCCAACCTGAGCTACATAAGACATCTCAAGGAAACTAAGAGTAAAACAAACCCCCAAACGAAAGTAAAACAAAGTGAAGAAAAACAACAACAACAAAAAAACCCCAAACCCCACAAAACCATGGCAAACATTAGACATAAAAGTAGAACATTAGAATGGAATATGAGAGAAAAAAAATTGTCCCATGGATTGTACAACTACAGGAAACCAAATGCCAATCTTGAATAAACTTCAGGTGGGAGTGCCATCAGATGACCATTCAACTTGAGTCTTTTGAGATCCCAAGCACAGGAGCAGGTTTCCATTTTACAGATCTGGGTGGGAACTAAGGGATGCTGTTTTAAACCACTAAGTTATCGATAGTCTATAAATTATGCTGCAGTAGTAATTGAGTGGCTCTTTCATTCCCTCTGTACATTTAAAAATAGAAGCTGTGGCATCCAGGAAGCTAATACAAACTTTCCTAAACATAGAAACTGTTCTGGCGGAGGACTGAGTGAAAATGTTTGACTAACAAGAGACTAAACAAGGGAAAACCTGGACTTACAGAATTTTAATTTAAATAATAAAGGTCAGCTGGGGAGGTGTTATACCCAGCATTTGGGAGACAAAGGCAAGCAGCTGTATTACTATTGAATCCAGGCCGGTTCCTAGTACCGACTCTGGCCAGAAAAACAAGTAGATTAATATTAACTGCAGATCTTCACCTCTTCCTCCATTCCTCTAAGTCTCATCTCCTGAGTCTCATCCCTAGGTCTTTAGTAGACCTACTGTTGTGGCCTCTCCTCACTCTGCCCCATTCCCAGGTGACTAAGCAGACACTGGTGGACCCCTGATATCCTCCCAGCCCTTTTTTGTTCTTAATTGTCAGCTCCTAATACCCAGAAACTCATTTTACATGGAAACCCCAGTGGCCTCACCTATCAGGACCCTAATTCCCTACCAGACAGATACAGCCACTATAGTCTCCCAAGAACCAGAGTGGAAACAGAAACCAAGGACCAAAACACCCACCCCCAAAATACAAGACCAGATAACAGCCCCTAGAATTACAATATTCTCAAACCTAGACGGTTAGATGCCAGCATAAACACACAGTAACTGTCAAAACAGTATGTCTCCAATGGAGCTCAACAATGCTACCACAGCAATCCCTGAATAGTCCAACATAGCTGAAGTACAAGAAAAGGACCTTAAGCAGCCTTTATGAATATGATAGCAGTCCTTAGAGGGGAAATGAATAAATCCCTTAAAGAAATCTTTAAGAGAACAAACAATGGAAGAAATTAATAAAACAGTTCAAGACCTGAAAGTGGAAACAGAATCAAATAAAGAAAACCCAAATTGTGGAATTCTGGAAGTAAAAAATTTAAGACTTGAACAGGAACCAGAGGCAAGCCTCGCCAACACAATATAAAACATGGAAGAAAGAATCTCAGGCACTGAAGACACGACAGGAGAAAGTGGATACACGGGTCAAAGAAAATGTTAAATTTAAAAACTACTGGTACAAAACATCCAGGAAATCTGGGACACTGCAAAAACACCAAATCTAAGAATAATAGGAATAGAGGAAGGAGAAGAAACCCAGGTCAAAGGCACAAAAAATATTTTCAACAAAAGCACATAAGAAAGTTTCCCTAACATAAAAAAGGAGATGCCTATCAAAGTAGAAGAAGCAAACAGAAAACCACATAGGCTAGACCAGAAAAGGAAGTCCCCTCAGTACATAATAATCAAAACAATAAACATATACGCCAAAGAATATTAAAAGCAGCAATAGAAAAAGACCAAGTAACATACAAAGATGAACCTATCAGAATTTACATGACTTCTCAATGAGGACTTTAAAAGCCAGAATGGCCTGGACAGATGTGCAATA